AGTTCTGTTGGTGGGAAATTGCAGCACTGGTGCTGGTGTTCTAGGCAGCTGCTATCTTTGTCCTCTTGGTCAAGGCAATTGTGTGTTTTGGAGATGGTATCAAAAAACTTAAGTTGCTGCAGTACATTCCTGTGATGGATACACACCGGCCATGGTGCTTTGATGAAGTATGGAAATTAAATTAGTACATGTTAAGAGATGTCTAGAGTGGCTAGTATCAAGTTTAAGGGTGTGTTCTGCAGGTGTTTTAAGTAATGACTGTATAGCATAAAGGAATGAAGGAAGGACTCTGTTGTCGCACAGTGGTAGTGTCCCTATTTCTGTACCAGGAGGCCTGGGTTCAAGTCACACCTGCCCCAGAGATTTGCAAAAAAATCTCTGAATAGGTTGATTAGAAATACCTTGAAGGAATCAAGTAGATGTTATGTCTTAAGTTGCCTGAGCCCTAAGTTCCGGAATTGCCTTTCTAAACCTCTTTGTCTCTCCTTTCGTAAAACATCCCTTAACACCACTTCTCTGATTAAACATTTGTTTAGCTGCCCAAATATCTCCTTATGTGGCTTGGTGTCAGATTTTGTTTTATAACACTCTTGTGATGTAGCATGGGAAATTTAACTACTTTTTAATGGTGGAATGCAGGTTCTAGTTCATAATCATACAGTGTGGAAACAGCCACTTCAATCCAAATGGTCTATGCCGACTGTTCCCAAACCAAACCAATCCCACTTGTCTGCACTTGGCCCATATTCCTTCAAACCGTTCCTGTTCATGTACTTACGTAGATGTCTTTTAAACGTTGTAACTGTACCTGAATCTGCCACTTCCTCTGACAGTTCATTCCACACACTAAGCACTCTGTTTTAAAAAAAAGTTACTCCTCATGTCCTTTTCAAATCTTTCTCCTCTCCTTAAAAAAAAATATGCCCCCTAGTTTTGAGCTCCCCCACCCTATGAAAAAGACCCTTGCTATTCACCTTATCGCGGCCCCTCATGCTTTATAAACTTCTGAGGTCACCCCTCAGCCTCCTGCACTCCAGTGAGGAAATCCCAGCCTATCTTATACAGCATTGTAAGTCTCTAGAAAATATTCCTTTGGCCAAGCTTACTTTTTGGAAGGAGAATGGGCCTCAATTTTGGGTACCAGGTCAGAGTTTGAATTATGAGTTAGATGTTGTGTTATCTGAAGATATTTCCTTCCAATCTGCTACAGTCCATCAGGCAACTCCATGAATTATAGCTCCATCCATTTGCTGTGCTGAAAGTTCAGAGGCCTTATCACACTCCAATCATTGAAGCCCTGCTGTCTGTCCAGAGCCTGACTTGCCCTCGGAAGGTAACGTTTGATCTGTAAGAATCATTTGCAACTATTCATGGGGAGTATTAAACTAAGGCACATCTGCCCTTTTTTTTTTTTTTTTGCAAATAAAAGATCACAACATCCCACAGGAAATAGTCCTTGAGGAGGAGTTCTCCCACTATCCTGACCAAAATTTATCCCTCTGGTGTCGAGGTCCACGATCCACTCTGTCATGTTAGAAGAGTTCATGACAAGTATTAGTCACAAAATTGGATGCACATATAATGTGGTTTATACAAAAGCTTTAGCCATTACACATTTAATGCATTACACATGTGAAAATGTGTCCATCTTTCTCAACAATTGTCTAAGCTGTAAGCTCTGGAACACTTTCCCTAAACCACTGCATCTTTCCCTTTTAAGGTGTTCTTTGAAACCTCTAATTAAGCTTTTAGTCACCTGTTCTGTTAGCTCCTCCTTTGACATACATGTCAATTTTAGTCAGATTGCTTGTTTGAAGCATCTGGGATGCTTTAAGGCATTAAAGGTACTAAAATATAGGTTGTAATTAATCTATTTCATTGCTGTTTGAGAACCTGTGTGGTGCAAACTAACTTGTGTCTCTTGAAATGTGAATCACTTAATTTGGAAGTATTTAATTGATCGTTTTCAGTAAATTTCCTTGTACAACAGCCATTTAAATAAAAATCCATTTGAATTAAGTTCCTGTTGATTCTGTTACAAATTTTTGGTTTGAACACCTCTTTTTATGTTAAATTTAGTTAATAGAAACTTAGCCCAGATTTGATTTGTTCAATTTGGATCAGGCTGCTAAAAAAATTTTTGAATATGCTTTTGCATTCCCGATGACTGACTGGTGTTAATCTGTGCAACAACTCAAAAGTTCCCATGTAGTTTTACAGAAGTCAGACCCTTTTAAGCCATCTTGCATACCCAGCCACATCTTTTGAACAATTGCCTGCACATCCAAATGAAAATTGTAAAGTATGTTGTCTACTATTCATGTAAATTGAACTCTAATTAAAAATCACTTTTATTTAACTTCTAAAAATTGTAATGCAGGCAGGATATACAAATGGTCCCCTTTTGTGTTGTATCAGCCTGTTGTTTAAAAGCTGTGGCATTGTTTTAGCAATAGGTGGCACCAAACACCTTCAGTACACTATCTGGCGAACAGCAAATATTCCCATAAGATAGTCAGCCAGTGTTACCATCTGCATTTGTATAATGCAGTTTCAGACAAATGTTGTTTATTTGCATATCACTGGCATGCGTTTGAGACACTTTTTAAATGCTGAAAACTGGTAATATTTTTTCCAAAGCAAGATTAGACGGGGCGGCACGGTAGCACTCTGGTTATCACTGCTGCCTCACAGTGCCAGGGACCTGGGTTTGATTCCACACTCGGGCAACTATCTGTGTGGAGTTTTGCACATTGTCTCCGTGTCAGCGTGGGTTTCCTCCAGGTGCTCCGGTTTCCTCCCATGGTCCAAAGATGTGCACGCTAGGTGGATTGGCCATGCTAAATTGCCCGTAGCGTTCAGAGATGTGTAGATTAGGTGGGTTTATAGGGGGATGGGTCTGGGTGGGATGCGCTGAGGTTCGGTGTGGACTTGTTGGGCCGAAGGGCCTGTATCCACACTGTAGGGATTCTATGACTGAAACTGACAGAATTTACCATTTAACTGTTCTGCTGCAAAATCTTTCTTTCTAATTTCAACTCTTCACATTCAGAAAATAAGAAACATAAAATTTGTTGTGTTGCAACACTGGTATTTTCCCTGTTCCTGCACCTCCTCCACCCAATTCATTATGCAATTTTTAAAACGTTATTCTCTCTTTGTTCTTGCTGTGTTCACAACAGGAGTATAACTCGATGTTCTGCTATGTTTTCTTATCTCTTGCATACTTCATTCTGATACAAGAACCACGTGGCACACGATAGTTGCAAAAATAGAGTTTATCAAAACCAATTGGTTTGTTAACTCCCATTATGTGGTTTGGAATCAGAGAAACCAAAGGAATTTGAGTACTTTACATATCTTATCCAAAGTTATGGAATTCTACATTTAAAAGAAAAGTAGTGGAGGAATGAAGCAAAAGATGCATGATGTAGTTCAAATTTCAAATGTTAATAATGACCTAGAATTCAAGGTTTGAATTACAACAGAAATTATACAAACTAGGGTTACTGGAATTTAGAAGGTTAAGCAATTATTTACTTGAAGTTTAAGGTATTAAGTGGAGTGGATGGTTAGTTTGAGAGAAATGGTTTCCGCTGACTGGAAAGACGGGAGGTATAAAATTAAAGCTGGATCTTTCAGAACAGAAATTAGAAAAATGAAGGCTGGCAGGAATTTTGAGCACCATTCCACAAATGACAATTGATTATGAGCATCAATTCACTAACTTAAAATTTAAGGGATAAGGAATAGGAGCAGATTGCATGGTCCATTTGAAGTTGTTCCATCATTCAGGCTGATCTTGGGCTTCAGGTCTACTTTCATTACCTGTTCCTCAGTCAGATGCATTTATTCTCCACGTTATATCATTTTAATTCAATGGTGCACATCCATAATCTGAGGTTGAAAATTCCAAAGTTTCAGTGTTTTAGGTGACCCTTTCTCGTAGCAAAATATACTGTTACCTTTGCCGTTGAGGATTCTTGCATCTGTCCTGGAATGCAGAATGTAAAGGTTCAATATTATGTGTCTTTTTCAGCAAAATTGAAGAAATTTCCTCACCTTAGCCATGAGAACACAAAATAAAAGCAAGAGTAAACCAAGTGGTCTCTTGATCCTTTTCTATTATTTCAATATGATTATGCTTCAATTCATGGTAAAGGTCTTGCTGTCTACTCTAAGTGCCTTCACAATCTTGAATATTTCAGTGAGCTCATTCTTCTAAATGCCAGAGAATATTGACCTAGCCCCTCATCATAGGAGTCCTTTCACCCAGAGTCTAATCTACTGAGCCTTTGCTGAAGTGCCTTTACTGTATATTCTTCCTCCAAAATGGGTATTAAAATTTAAGTGTTACAGGTATGGTCTCCACAAAGCCCGTATGATTAAAGTAAGGTTTCCCTATTGCAACCACAGCCAACCTCCCCACATTAGAACCAGCCACTTTTTCAAAATTGTTTACTGGGTCTGCGTATTAACATTTAGTGTTCTTATTTGAGTACACCCAAGTTTCTCTAATACCAGCATTTAAGTTTCATGCCTTTAAAAGAAATGTTACTGTTGTATTCTTATTATCAGTGTGAATAACTTCACACCTCTCCAAGTTATACTCCATATGCTACTTTGATGAATCATGTAACCTGTCTAAATCTATTGCAACCCCCTAGCTTCATATTATTTGGAAAATTAAATATATTACTCTGCCTCTTTTTCTAAGTTGTTAACATATATTGTAAATTGATAGATTATTAAATAAAGATGCTTTGAAAGTAGAGTTTGACTGCAGATCAGTCATGATCTTGTTGTATGATAACAGGTTTGAGGGGCTAAATGCCATCCTCCTATTCCTAAATTATTGTTGTGTCTGAATTTTAAAAATCTAATTATTTAGGCTCGTCTAATCTCTTTTAAAGTTGGCAGATTGATTATAGACTTCCTTGTCAATGTTAAATATTAATTTAACTCAATGCCCTAGTTTTAATTTTCTTGTTTTAATGCAGCTTCACGAGAGGGTGAAGAAGAAATTAATGGTTGATGGCTCATCTTTGAATGGAGATCAACAAAATGGATTTGAAGATGGGAGCTATTCAAGCCCTAAGAAACTCCGATTGAATGGAGAAGATGCATCAGGACTGCTTGCAGTTAATGCATCTTCTAATGGCATGCCACCAATGTCTCCGTTGCACCAACGAGACAAAAGAACTGTAATTGGAGAGAGCGCACAAAGCAACGGAAACCATTCCTTGGGCTTGGACAATGTGAAGAAAGAAAATATTCCTGACTCCAGTGTGCAGGTGAATGGGAACTGTGATGGTGCTGATGGGTTCACTCTTATTAAAGAACTTAAGCAGGAGTCTGTGTTGGATTTACATGGTATGAACCCTGCAGGCACTTCTCTGTCTCAGAATAACATGTTTCCAGATATTAATTTGAATGAACAAGAGTGGCAGGAATTGTTTGACGAGCTAAACCGATCTGTGCCGGACCAAGATATACAGGATCTCTTCAATGAAGATTTTGAGGACAAAAAGGATATTGAACCGGCTGGTTCTTCTGATCAAACAACCTTACAAGACAGCTTAACAATAAAAACTGAGATTTCTTCATCTTCCTTTGAGCACGAGCAAAAAGGATCTTCGCAAACTAGACCATCTGCATCAGGACCTTCATTTTCAAGCGTATCTGTAGCTCCTGTTAATACAGCCCCTTCAGGAGTTGGTATTTCTCAGGCTATGGCACAAACGACACGCCCAACTCAGCTTTCAATAAGACCGGAGTCTAGTGCCCTGTTGCCTGGGAAGGCAGGGCCATCTGTGGAACGGTCTCCTGCACAGCAGCTGCAGCAGATGGCCGCTAAACAGAAGCAGAGAGCACAACTCCTACAGAAACAGCAAATGCAGCACCCCTCGCACCCCTCGGCCAATCAGGTACCAAACTGGTCAGCAGCACCTACCCAAAGCCCTCTTGGTGGACCCTACAGCCTCGATAAACCCAACAGTCCTTCACTGTACCCACAAGACTTCAACCAAAAGCTTCCAATGACCAGTGTGCAGCCAAAGAGCTCTCCAAAAGCTGGTGGTAATTACCTCCAGCCAAATCGTGTCCCAATGTTAAGCCATCAGCCTAACACTTTGGGGCAAAATTCCACAAACAGCCAGGCTCCTCTGCTAAGCTATGCCAACACTAAACGGTTAACTCATTTTGAAATGGATAACAATTCAAGAGCTGTGCCACCTAACCACAACAAAACTGCAATGTTTGCCTATGTGCGACAGCAGCAGACACTTTCCCATCTCAGTGATGAGCAGAAACGAATGCTGTTGAAACAAAAGGAGCTTCCCCAGGGTGCTGTTACATACAGGCCTCTTCTGCAGCACAGTCAGGTAAGAGTTGTTCATTTTTGCTGCCCTGTCATTCCTGGACATTTCATTTGTGTGAAAAGCCGTAGAGACTAGTAATTTGAGAGCAGCATGTGTTTCCCTTATTTCCAAATCTTCCTTTTAATCTTCCCTTGCTGAAAGCATTGACCCATGTTGGGTTTGGTTTCATCTCCATTTCTGAGGCTAGATTGTGAGCATCAACAAGCACTGCAGTTGTGAGAGACTATCAGGAGAATATTGTCATTCTCAACCACTGTCCAAAGGAGCATATCTTTAATGCCATAGGGACTAGAGCAGGACCCCGACTGGAAATTGAAATAATCCATTCAACCCTTTACGCTTTCAATTGCAATTTGAATTAATGTAAATTCCACCGCCTGCCAAGGTGTGAATTGAACCCATATCACCAAAGAATTAACCTGGACCTATGGATTAGGAGTTCAGTTAGATGTCACTAAGGAACCATATGCCCTTCTTATTGAGCTGACCTTCACTATATGTGGTGAAATAGTCTTCAGGCACTTGCAATCATTGTTCTTGCGTGAGCCTAAGGATCCCAGAACAATGATGTTGACCATGAAATCTGCCATAGGTATGAATTGGTGACTTTAGGGAAGGTTAATCGCATCTCCTTGAAAATGAAATTAAGATGTTACATGGATTTGAAGTTTTCCAATTAATCGATTTTGGTATTGCAGCTGGAAAGCTCCCACTGAATTTAGCTCGCTTTGTAAGATTGTGAATGTTCTTCTGTATTTCCACAAAATTAATGTAATCAGTATTCCTTATGGTCAATTATTGCATATTGCCTTATGAATAATAATTTTCCTTGTATACAAGGAATATTGCAACACTCCTAATACGTTAAAAAAAATAAATCTGGTTCCTTGAACCTGCTCCACCATTCAGTAATAATAATGATTGGTGTGTTTGTTTGTGTTTGTGTTTCAAATTCGACATTCCCATCTACTCCTGGTAATCTCTATTCCCTTACCTAACAGAAATCTATCTGCCTCTGACTTAAAAATATCCAATGACTCCACTTTCTCCATCGCCTGAGGCAGAGTTCAAAAGTTGCACAATTCTCAAAAATAAGTTATCCTCATCTTTTGTCTTAAAAAGGCAACCCCTAATCATAAAATAGTGACCCTAATTTTGGACTGGCACACAATCCTTTGCACATCACCTTATCAAGACCTTTAGTCAAGTGTGATGTTTACTGCTCAGAAGGGACCATTTGACCATCATGTCCACACCAGTCAACAAAGATCTGACTACACGAATCCCAGTTCCCAAATTTTGCCCTGTAGCCCTGAGGCCATGGCAACAGAAGTGAATAAATAAATACTGCTTAAATGTTATGCATCTCAATCACACTTTCAAGCAGTGAGTTCAAGACTCCTGTCTAAGTTTTATTTTGAAAGATCCTGCTTTTTACTTTCCTTAAATGTTTGTCCCTTGGTCATTGACTCCTGTACTAGTAAGGAAAGTGCCTCCCTATCCAACCTACCCACATATCATCGAGTTCACCTCCTAACAGTTTGTCTTGCAACTTACGCTGCTGCAAAGGAAAACAATGCCAGCCAAATCAAATCTTCCTCATTTCTCAAACCTTCCAGCCGAGTGCATCCCAGTAAATCTTCTCTTCACCCTCTCTAGTTCAATTGCATCCTTTCTGTAACTGCATATAGTTCACCATTTGTGGCCTAACCGGTGTTTTATATAATTCTGGGATAACCTCCTTGCTCTTGTATTCTATGCTACTTTGCCTCATCTAATAAAAGCAAGGGCAGGCAGTCCCTGGGTTCTGTTCCTGAGTGTGTTCGTAAGTCAGTTTGCACACAAGTTGGAACACAGTGGCATACGTAACAAAATAGCCATTTGTAATTACAAGGACAAGTTCCTAAATCAATCTTTAAAATTACAATTTGTATAGGATTGTGTTTGTAAGTACAAATGTTTGCAAATTGCAAACTCACTGGCAATAAGCCTCCTTAACCATCTTATCTACCTGCTCCACCACCTTCAGGAACCCATAGATATGTAAACCAAGGTCCCTCTGGTCCCGACCCGAAACGTCAACTTTCCTGCTCCTCTGATGCTGCCTGGCCTGCTGTGTTCCTCCAGCTCCACACTGTGTTATCTCTGACTCCAGCATCTGCATTTCTTGCTATCTCCCTATGGCCTTCAGTAGTTTTCAGGATCCTACGATTCGTGGCATAATCCTTTGCCTTACTAACCATCCCGAAGTACATTACTTCACATTTTTCAGGATAGGATTACATTTGCCCCTGCTTGGCCTACCTGACTAGACACTGATAACCTTCTGCATTTTACGGCTATCCTTCTTAGTATTTGTCACCCGATCAATTCTTACAAACTCTTGGTCATTCCCCTGGCGTTTCAGTCCAAATCATAAATATACACTACAAACAGGAAGGACCCAACACCAAAACCTGCAAAACCTCACTGGAAACAGAAACATCCACATTTACCTACTATCCCTGATCAGTCTGCCCCTCAGCGTGCTGGTACAGTCTGCCCTTTCAGGTGCTGACAACTTCTTTCCATCCATTTTAGACTGACTGGCCTGTAATTTCCTGCTGTATCCTTTCTTCCCTTTTAACAATGGTACAGTGTTGGCAGTCCTCTGGCACTTCACTGCTAGAAAAGATTTGAAAATTACTGCCAGAGCCCCTTATATCCATGATTCTCTAGTCTCAGTCCCACCCCTTGTCTTTACAACGACATATTTGCTGTAACTCTCTCCTTCACCTGCTCCAATCTTCAGTGTTTCTATGTTACTTTCTCCTTGATTGCGCTGCACTGCTCTGACAGTTTTCTCTGTAAATTCAGAGGTAGTAAGAACTGCGGATGCTGGAGTCAGAGGTAACACAGTATGGAGCTGGAAGAACACAGCAGGCCAGGCAGCGGAGCAGGAAAGTTGACGTTTTGTGTCAGGACCCTTCTACAGGCATGGAGAGGGGGAAGGGAGCTCAGAAATAAATAGAGGAGGAGCGGGCCTGGAGAATGTAGGTGGGATGGCGATAGATGAGTGCAGGTAGGGAGTGGTGGGGATTGGTCAGCGGGATGAGAAGGGCGGATAGGTGAGAGAGAAGATGGACAGGTTGTGTCAGGTCAAGGAGGCGGGGATGAGAGGGGAGGGTTGGACATGGG